AAAAAGAAGCAGAAATCATACTATTCAATATGCTGATAAAACCCAATCTGGATGCCAAAGTGAAAGAAAACAATCTGCCAGATGTTAATATTTTCTTAATTAAGTTAATTAAGTTACCCAGGCTCCAGGAAACATTGAAGAAAATTGATTTTCTAAAATTCATTTGACCTTAACATAAGGTCCAGTTTTAAGGTAGATACAGCTAGTCCTTGACTTACAACCACAATCGAGCCCAAAATTACTGTTGCTAAGTGAGACAGTTAAGTGTGTTTTGTTCCATTTTATGATGTTTCTTGCCACAGTGAATCACTACAGTTATAAGATAGTAACATGGCTGTTAAGCAATTCGTACTTCCCCATTGACTGCTTGTCAGAAGGTTGTATCAAATGATCCCAAGACACTGCAAAGGTCATAAATATCAGTCACTTGCTGAATGTCTGAATTTTGATCACATGACCGTGGGGATGCTGCAATGATCATAAGTGTGAAACACAGCCATACGTCTCTTTTTTCAGTGCCGTTGTAATTTTTAATGGTTATAAATGAACTGATGTAAGTCAAGAACTACTTGTAGTGCCATGGTTACCTGTATAAAGATCACTATAAAGATCACTGCAATGTTGGTTTGTTTACATTCAGGTTTATTCACTTAATTCTACTGGGCATCAAATTTTAAACTTAGTATGAAAGGTACACAGCAAATTTTAAAATACAATAAACCCATCAACTGAGATGTATTCCTAGTGCTAATAATCTATGTGAGAACTGATAGCCTTGCTGTTATGATTATCTGAAATGATGTTACAATTAGTTTTTACTTCTGATGAAATATTTGAAAAATATCTGGAGAAAGAAAAGTTGGGGCACTTGTTTCCCCCCCAAAAAAGTGTCTGAAATTGACATAGTAGCAAAACAAGTACATTTCAGTCCTTCTGTTAGAACGACACACACAAAAAAAGAAAAGTTGCTACATGTACAAGAGCATTCTAGGCTTATCAGAATCATACAACAACAGATTGGTTGATCGAACCAATGGATAGAAAAAATATATAGAACAGTTACAAAAATTCCTTCTATTTAAGGAAAAAAACCTATGGATCCAAGTCAACATTTATTTTAAGCACTATAATTTATTGCATTTTCTATATCATTTCCCAAAATGATTCACCTTCAACAAAAAAAAGTGAGACATCTTCATTCTGTTGAGAAGGTAGGTTAAAAAAATGAAATCAGATGATTATTTTCAACTCACAAGGCCAGGCATCCTGCGAACAGGTACTGCAGTTTTTTAAATTTTATTTTCCAGCTGCTCTTCAATGCTTTTCCTGCTTTTCTTTTTAGAAGGCAATCTTTTGACTGTATGTTTGCAAAAGAATGTTCAAACCTATTGTTAATTATATTCATATTTTCAATAGATGAGAAATATGTAGCTCAGGGTTTAATTGTACAGTCCTTGGTGCTGTGTAAGTTGTTTGTTTGTCTGCAGATGTTTCATTACCTGACTAGATAACATCAGCAGTGCTAGCGAGTGTGGGGTTTGCTCCCTATTTAGTGTAGTTGCTTGCCCTGCCAGTGTTGATTGGGAGTGTGGTTTCCTCCTTGGTAGTTCCTTAGTAGATACTGTTTTCTGCTTGATTGTATCTCTGGTCTACATCCTGCTTATATGGATGTAGGCTGCTGGGGAGGATGTGTTCTGGTCTTTTTGTTTCCTTCTTAGCGTTTGTCTCTTTTGAATGGTGTGTAAATTTGGTTTATTTCTCTGTCTCTATTGATGGTTGATTTGTCTAAATGCCAAACTTCCAGGAATACTCTAGCATTTTTGCATTTAGCTTGGTCTAAGATGCTCAGTTTCCCAACTGAAACTATGATTGAGTCTTTCCATGTGTTGTGACAGTAAGGAATTTTCATTTGATTGCTAGTGGGTGTTTATGGATGCGCTTTGCTAGTCTTCTGCCTATTTGTCCTACATAGTTTTTATAGTCCTCATACTGTATGTTATAGATGACACCTTTTTCTTCTTCTTGGGCTATAGCAGGGGTATCAAACTCAAGGCCCACGGGCTGGATTCGGCCCATGAGGTGCTTAGATCTGGCCTGCAGGGCCACCCTGGAGATACTGAAGGCCCAGCCCAGGGTGACTCTGCCAGCAAAAATGGAAGCCCCCCCCCCTTTCACTGGCAGAGGGCTACAGGAGGCCATCCTGGCCGAAAACAGTACCTGGGTGGGTACACACACACACACAGCTCTGTTTTTGATGGCAGAGGGGTAGCAAAACAAACTAAAAGCAAAACAAAACAAAAGGAGAAATGTTTCCCCTTTTGCATTTGAGCCTCTAAGAACGGACAGGAAAGGAGAAAAGGAAAGAGGAAAGACAAAGAAAAAGAAGAGAAGATGGGAAGAGAGCAAGGAAGGAAAAAGAAGGAAAGAGGGGAAGAAGAAAGGAGAATGAAGAGGGGAAGGAAAAAGAAAAGGAGGGAGGGAAGTCCTGCATTAATACTTGGCCACCAGCAGACGGCAAGACTCCTCTGGAGGATAAGGGTTTGGTGCTTTCCCTGGTCTCGCCTTCCTCTGCTAGAGACAATGGATCCCCCCAGCGCCACCCGGGCCACCAAAGGTGCCCCATTACATGAGTAATGTCGAGCTGGCCACACACACCCCGGCCACTACCACCCCACCCCCTCCGAGGACAAACACAACCCTGATGTGGCCCTCAATGAAATCAAGTTTGACACCCCTAGGCTACAGGGTCGTTTGGTTTACTTAAGAAGCTTTGGAGGCTTTACTTGGTTTTTGTATTATAATGATGTTGTGGAGTAAAATGTTGTTTCTGAGATATTCTTGGTATATAGTACTGTTATCCTTTTCATAGCTTGTTTTGGTGTGTTATAGTAGGTTCAGTGATCAGGTACTTTTTGATAAAGTTGCAGAGATATCATTGTGTTGGAAGATGTTATATATTAGCATTCTGGTATGTAAAAAATGTTGGCAATCTCTTCTTTCTGGTGTTCCTAGTTGCTGCACCGTTTGTATTCATCTGAATAATGTTGTTACAGAGCTCCTCTGGTGGAAGGCTGAGTTGTTACTTTAGTAATGGAGCACTCGGTTAGAATGGATTTTCAATAGAATCAAGTTTCTAATGTGCCAAAATTTCCTGTTCAGATGAGGCTATCTAGGAAGAGTAGTATGTATGTTTTCTTCTTCCCTCATGAATTTTATTCATTTGAAGATGTTATTTCATGTATCTTCTCGTTATTCCTTTTTTATTACGATGGTGTTGTCTACATAACAGATCCATATTTTTCTGTGTTTGTGGAGAAGTGCCAGTTTCTAGATACTGCATAGTCTCTGCAATGAGTCCCGAGAGTGCTGATCCCTTGGGCGTTCCTCTGATTTGTTAGTATATTTGCCCTTCAAACTGAAAATATATAGAGGCAGAGGTTGATTCTAGGTATTTTGACCAGTACATTTGGTTAGGTTGGGCATGTTGTGAATATGGCTACCATCGATTTTTTGCGCTAGTTCTAGATCTATGGATGTAAAGATTGCTGTGACATTGAATGAAACCATAATTTTATCTTCTACTTTTAGGTCTTTAATTTTCTGGAGGCACTGAAGTGAGCGGTTGGTAGACTATTTGCTTCCTATTGTGAGATGTCCCCACTTTTTTTTTCTTATTTTTTGTGGGTTCTCTGGCTATGTAGTATGTTGGGGTCCCTGGTAATACGAGTGGATGAAGAAATTGTCAGGCTTGTGTATTACTATTCATAAAAGCATGGGAGGATGGGTCCACTGTTTTTCATCCACTGCTGTTCTACCTTAACAGGTATGGTAAATTAAATTTACAACACACAAATTACAGAAATTACAGAAATTACAGAATACGGCACAGCATATTTCTGCAGCAGTTAAAACAGTAGCCATTTCTTTTAATAGCAAGAAGCAGGTTCATACAAAATGCTCATATACAGGACAGCAGGGATCTAGGATAGATATGAGTGAATGGTTCTACTTGTCTCTGACTTGGTCAATTTCAAATAGAAACACTGAGCCAAACTCTTAAAGGCTCAAAAGTGTTATATTGAAGAAAGAGTTGAACTGGAACTGTGAAAATACAGATGCAGGGCTATCCACTGGATGATGTTGTTGGGCTAGTCTGTCTCTCAGCCCAACTTACCTCACAGGGTTAAGAGTTGAGGAGGGGAATTCTGGAAGAGGGATTGCTAAACACAATGTTTGGAGGACAGGCAAGTCATAAATGAAACAAAAGCAAAATTTCCCTAACCAGATGAGACCAGAGAAACAGATCGTGGAGAGATGGCCACCTCCTTCACGGGTGGGTCATTTAACTTTCAGAGAAACATCCTTTCGTGTTTTGTTTGGTTTTTAAGCAAGCAGCTTCCTCTCTGGGAATGATCAGTGGAGTGTCTGCACCGGCGGAGGAGGGGGGGGGATTTTGAAGCCCTAGCAAATCGTTTTGGTATGAAAAGAAAGGGCGGCCCACAGCAGACGTGCCTCAGGCGAACACACTTTAAATCGTGCGCCTTTTTCGACGACCAGGCTGAGCCGGCTCGTTATCCACTGCCGTAGGGTCTGGACCGGAGCAACGCCACGCAGCCAGCCCTCCGGCAGCCATTCCCTAGGCCACGGCGCCCTCCCCGTATCTGGAAGCGAGCGACTCTCCTTTCCAAAAGGTGGCGAAGCGGGAAAGATGAGTCGCTCCCGCAACCCACGCCTCGCCTCCTTCCCCTCGACGCCGAGGGAAAAGTGAGCCTCGCGCGCCATCAGCGGGTCCCACCACGTCGCCCGGCTTCCCTGGGTGCGGGGTGGGGGGAGAGGCCGCGCGCGCGCGCGCGCGATTGGCTCGCGGTTCTTTGCCTCTCGCGCCCCTTCCCAGCCCGGCCGCTCCTCGCGCGCTCCAGCCTATTGTTCTGCTTGCCGCCGCTTCCTTTTTCTCCCCCCCACCCACCCCCCACGGAGGTGGGCGGGGTTTTCCCCCCCCTCCGGCCTCCGACTGACACTTCGGGGGCGGGCCTGAGCCGGTTGAAAACGGGAGGCTGGAGCCGGCTGGCCCGGCGGGAGAGAAGCGGCGGCGCTGCTGTTGCTGTTGGCAGCTTTGGGCCTGCTGTGCGTCGCTTTGGCTGCCTCGGCTCGGGCTGGCAAGCCAATGAGGGCCCGGACTCCGGCCCTCGCTGCCTCAGGAGCTGCCGGGAGCCCCCCGTGCCGACCGCCGGCCCGAATAAGGGCGGGTTGACTGACCCCCCCCATGCGGCGGCTCCAGGAGAAGTTCAGGAGGTGAGGCTTGGCGGAGGTTTATCGTGGGCGGAGAGGGGGACTCCGTTATAAGGGTTGGCGGCGGTTCCCTCCTCTCTCTACCGTAGGAGGAAGGCAGATTCTCCCCCCCCCCCCCCCCCCCCCCCTTAATGGGTGTGTTCGCCTTCGGATGCTTTTAATCGGGGAGATTCTGCATCGTTCTCGTGGCCGGACCTTATTTTCAACCGTTCACCTCGCGTTCCGCCTCGGGAATGAAGACCTCTTAAAATAAAACGGTCCTTTTTTTAAACACACACGTGTCTTGCATCCAAGTCTGAAACGGGCTTCGCTATCCCTTTCCCTCTCCCCCCCCACCCCTCCTCCGTTTCATGGCATGGCTTTGGGGGAATTTTAATTTGCTATTTTTGGGTTGGGGGGAGAGAGAGAGAAAGAGAGAGAGAATATCAAGATAAGCTTCATTTGAATTGGCACAATAACCTGCTGTGGGGTAGTCGTGTCGAGGGGTCAAGTGAAAATAGATTCGGGGCGAGAGTCGTTAATCGAGATTAATTAAAGCAGGACACAAGGGATGTCGTTGTGGTGCTGTGCGTGCTGTGTATCTCGTTCAGGCATAGGTGTAAACCGTTGCCTCTTTTTCTAAAGACTGGAAACCTATAAAAGGGCTGTGGTCTTGACTTGCTGCCAGGAGGCTTTTTAGTTTTTTTGTGTTTGTTTTTTATACACAAATGCTTATGGATTTAATCTCCAGCACTCAATTTTGAATGCCACCAACGGTGTTTCTCTAAAGAAGTTCAATGTGCATATATATCTCAGTACAGGTGGAATTTGGGAGATACTGATGCATTTTTATTAGCAGGAAGATGGGAAGAGAGAGAGAGAGATTACTTGACGATGAGTTTCACCAAGTGATGTAGAAAAATGTATGTATAGTCATTGTAAAGCCACATTTGGGGATGGTGAACTTTTTCAACTGATTTTTTTTTTCCAGGTGAGATTTATTTTGGCTTACAAGCATGGGGTTTTTAATCTGTAAACTAATTTTTGCTTCTAATACTAGTCCTTTATTGTATTTCAGTGGATGAGATACAGGCTTTTTGCTTAGAGTTTACAAAAAGGTGCATATTGACATTCAGTATATGATAAAATTAATTTTGTTTTTGAAGGTAAATTCATAAAGAAATTACTGCTGTCAAAAACAAATGCATGAATGGGAATGGTCATCTGTGCATCTGATTTTGGAAGTGGTTTTGTGAAATACAGAGAAAAATTGAAAGAGTATACGCAAATTACTTTTGTTTTAATACACTTACGGTAACAAGACATTAATTTAATCCAAGCTGATAGTTTATAGGCACATATCCTATCACTTTTTTTCTACATCATATTTAATTTTACCTCATTTCTCTTCCCTGCACCATCTTGAATTACCTATTTATAAATACAGCTATTTATCTGAGGCATGTAAACATTTCTGGCCTGAATTTTCTCAGAAGGGCAACTGAAATTCAAATTCTTGGATTCCCTTCTCTCCCTTGTTCTTTACTTTTGGTGCATTAATGCATTTTATTATTTCCTCTCTTCCACTATAACTCCAAGTGAGAGAAGGGGCGGGAGTTATTTCTATAAGCCACCTAGAGTTACCGTGAGCAGGCATATACATTTCCTTAGTAAATAAAAAACTGAATCTATACATTCTTTGAAACTGACAATTGAGACAGCTGAAGTTACAGGGAATGTGAGCATTTGGTATTGCATATGCTTGCTGTTGATAGTTTCTTAAATTTATACATATATTAACAAGTGGCTATTATCTCTGATGCTTGAGAAAACTTGGAGTACAATAGAGATGATTATAGTACTTTTCTTTCAGAAAGGAAATAGATCATAGTGAGATGAAGTTTTTCATCTTCTAGTAGTAGGTGAAAGTTCATATATCCGGTGTTTGTCTTGTTCATCTTACTTGAACTACATTTCTCTTTCATGTGTAGCATTAGAAAGCTTTTCCATTTCCCCCTTTTTTTATTTTTCAGAATCATCCATATAGTTGATAGATTCATCAGTTTGAGGCGCAAAGGAAGGATTAAAATCAGTTTGGGAATAATATACTAAAGCAGGGATGTCAAACAGGCGGCCCGCGGGCCGGATGCGTCACTCGCAGGTCACACCCACCCCAGCTCCACAAAGGGAAAAAATGTCACATGATGGCAATGTGATGCCGCGAATTTGAATTTAATGCGAATTTGTGCACTAAAATAATATGGGAAATATTGTGTGTTAATAGAATCTGAAAAAATGAGTCAAATATGTGTTAGGTCAGAAACAATAGTGCTAAAATAATAATGCAAATGTTTGATCTTATTTTAAATTATGTGATACAGGGCTCAAAGTGACATCTGTTGTATTCTTTGCTACAGTTATTATCTTGATGCTTGGAAAATGTATCTGATTTCCTCTTTAAAAATTTAAAGAATAATTGGAGCATGATGTGATAAAGAGAAGAATGAATGGTTTAATTTGAAGCATGACTAGACCTGCCTTTACATATAGTCCAATTCCACATGGCAACACATGCCTTTATTATTCACATTGGATATGCTGAAGCATTGGCTTTCTTCTTCCTCTTTTATCATCATTTTTAATTTGAAAAAGATCTAAAACATTTTTTCCCCGCGTATGAGTCAAGAACAGTTATTTGGGAGCAAGTTTTTACACAGTTAAAAATAGACAGCTAAAGGAGACAGATAATAGAGTAGAACCGTTGTAAATTTTGGATCCATTCTTTAATTAAGGGAAACTCCTTAGGTCAAACTGTAGTAGGTAGCAGTACTTGCCAACCTTGACTGATCTAGAAAGCTAAGAAGGTATAGTCTAGTTCAGCGGTCACCAACTGGTGGTCCGTGGACCACTGGTGGTTTGCGAGAAAATTTTGGTGGTCTGCAGAAAAATTATTCACATTTTTTATATTGCACTAAATCAGGTCCTCAAACTATGGGCCCTGGGGCAGATATGTGCAATGAACATTTGTGTTGCTGCAGAGAGTCTCCCCCTTCAGGGTCTTTTAATGTGGGTCAGAGGGGAACAGAAATTCCGATTTGGGGTCTGCTTCAGCCTCCTGGTGCAGGGCTTTTGGCGAAGATTGGAGGGAAGTGCTGCTGGTGGCGAAGAGCCAGAGGACCTTGTTCCAGTGGGACTGCATCATGGCCTGGAACTGGCTGACCATCTCAGCCCGCTGAGCGCCTGGAACTGGCCTTGCACTCCCGCAGGTCTTCCCTCTGCTTGGAAAGTGTTTTCTTTCTCTCTCTCTCTCCCTCCCTCTCCCTCTCTCTCTCTTCCTCTCCCTTCCAAAAAACTTAATAATATTTGGTGGAATGCAATTGCTCACAACTGTAAATAGATGCAAAACAATCTTAGATTAACAAGAGGAAGGTTAATAAGCTAATTTTGGGGAATAAAACTGCACTATGGCTACTGATAGCTATGGATCAAGCAGCCTGTATTAAAAAGATTGTTTCAATCTAATTTTGTATAAGATTGCCCTTTAGAGCTATTTTATATTTTGCTCCAAAAGAGGCATTAGGGCTTATTTTCTGGTTAGGTCTTATTTTGGAGGAAACATGGTATAAATAACAAAGAGTTACTTGCAAGCAAATACATGAGGTTCCATGCTTGTATTTTCATGGATGTAAATTAATGAGGAGAAGAGATGGAACACTTTGTTTCTGTTCTGTAATAACTCAGCATAGCTAAACTTTTGTGGCTTATTTTTAAGCCAACTCTGCTTTTAAAGGAAATATTCAAGACATGTTTTGGTGAGACAGGGAAAAGGGAGGATGTGAATACTTTATCTCAAATAGGAAAAAATTCCACATTCCTATTATACCTTGCAGCTTGTCACCTGCAAGGATTTCTGTTTTTAAACAACATTCATGTTGTTTAATATTGTAAATTACTGCTTAATACTATAATAACTCTACTGTAATGCAAATTACTCCCTGCAGCTTCCTTGACAATGTTTTTAGAAGTCTTTGCCATTGTCTTCTGCCTAGGGCTGTGAAAAAAGAATGGGCTCAAGGCCATTCAGATGATTTTGTGCCCCATTTCTAGCCTCATGCTTTAACTATTACACCAGTCCAGCTGAAACTGCGGGGTGTTGTCTGGAGCCAAAAGTCTGAAAGCACCTCCACTTCAAAAGAAAAAGAAAAAAAGAAAGGCAAACTAGAGATTTTCTGCCTACAGAAACTAGAGGCAGCTCCTGAGGGAAAACAAGTTTCAATGCAATATTTGGAAAACACTATAGTAATATCTTTATTTGAATTCTTGAAATACAAAAAATAAAGAGGATTATTATATTACTAAACTTTAAAACTAATTTGGAAAAGTACAATAAAATTGATGCATTCTCAGAATTCAATCTGTTAGACATATTAGCAATTTGCATTTAAAATTATTTCCTAATTTTACATAAAATTGGTAGAGATATGTATCCCTTACAAGGAATTTTTAATTGCAAGAATATAAGGAAATAGTAGTTGCGCTTGTACTGTCTGTATAATGAAGCAAAATCTTGCCTCTGTAAATCCTATAATACACTATATTGGTCCAATACTGTTATTTAATAATATATAATATAACCCTTAGAGGCTTAAAATAATAAGCCTCTAATAAACCTGCAAAACATTTTTGAAGTATTTTAAGCTTGAAATGAACTATTCCAACATTTATCATCTGTATTCTAGGAGAGAATGTAGAATTAAAGGAGAAGAATTACAGATAAACACTGAAGTTGATAAAAGCATAAGAAATTTATTTTTAATAGCAGGATTCAGTTTATTTCACCCTTAATGCTATATACCTTTGCTTGATAGAAACATGGAAACACAGAAAACTTAATGGCAGAAAAAGACCCAGCAGTCATCCAGACTGCCCTTTGAGTGTTTTGTTTGTTTTTGCTTATTTTTAACTTATTTTTAATTAATATGTTTTATTGTTTGTTTATTAGAATATATACAAAGTGTATGTGA